GCTAGCTCTTTCTAAGGGACCAGACAGAATACGTGTTTTCCTTCACCTAAGGACGGAAACAGATCCAGTTTCCGAAACGTCGTGTTTTTCTTAGTTATCTTAAAACCAGGACGATGGATAAAGTCCGAAAACCCAATATCTCTGTGTGTTATACACCATCGTCAGAATCCTATAGTAAGGCATATCTGTTCCTCCAGACGAAGAAGGCCCGAATCACAACTAAGCAACTGTCTCTCTGGAACAGAACCCTATTCGAGAACCTGGCAGACGCTCAACAACTCAGGAAATTCTAGCCTTTTATGGAATTCGTGTTCAGGTGACTCTGGTTCAGGCGAATTAATTTCTCGCCCTGTTTCTGTAAGATTTGTTTCCCCTCCTTTGGCGCTACAACCCCAATTTGGGCCTTGGCCTACCTCCATGAAACTCTCCGTTTCACTTCAGTTTACTACATCTTAGGCATTCGGTAGGACTCCTTGGGCGGGTGATCAGCTCGTCGCAAGGATTCTACCTGTACACAAGCACAGAAAAACATACATACACACGCACAAACACCAAACATCCATGCCCTAAGTGGGATTCGAACCCACGATTCAGGCTTCCGAGCGATCGAAGACAGTACATGCCTTAGACCGCTGGGCTACAGTGACCGGCATTTCTGTAAGATGCATTTTAATTTTAGCCTCCCATCCATATACTAACGTACTAATCTCATGACAAAGGTGTTACATGAGAAAACGGCGATCAGTTGGCTTCTGGAAATCAAGTGACGTAAAGTACTGAAACGTCATAACCTTCTTCAACAAATTAGTCATTTTGCAATATGTGGCAATATCTGAAGCTCATTTATCTTTTTACAAAATCCATCCTCTCTTCCACGATCCTGGCACATAACTATAAAGGAGAACTTATAAATAGACTTTGACTGAATCAGCCTATTGAACAAATGCATTCCAAAGGGCCCACGCCGCCGGCGTAAAAGAGGACGTGACTTCTGTTCCCATAAATGTCGCCCAGGAGAAGTTGTGACAGCATTCACGTTGTAAGTGAAGTCATAAAGTAAGGGTAAAGCTATCCCTGTAACAGGCTGTGAAGCCACATAGAGTTGTGAGATGTCGAGGCTTCCACATTTTCTAGTCAGTCGACTCACAGACGGCGGTAAGTTTGTCAGCCTTACACACAGACCGCCATTACCCCCAGGAAGATTCCTGGTGCTCATTTATGTTAAAGGCTGAGTCGACCCCAAGGCAATAGTGCGGCTGGAAGGCATACGTAAATTGAAAATATCCACCTCATCGAGACTCCAACCCGCGACCTTCCTGCTTGTAGCATAGTAAAAAAGAAGTTATAGCATACCAAAGAAGAAAAAATTTAAACAAATTTCGAACTTGCAGGTGCTTCATAAGTGCTTTAAATTTATTACAAACGATAAAACAATTCCGTCCAGTGTGACTGTTGAAGCTTTAACTGCTTCACCTCTTAGCACCATAACATGTTTCGGTCCCTATAGACCATCAGCAGAGAGAACATCAATACTTTTAGGAACTACTATTACGTTGGGTGTTTTGATTTTTAAAATACATAAATATACAATATTTGTAATATACACTTTATACAAAATCCAGTCACACTGGACGGAATTGTTTTATCATTTGTAGTGTTGTTAGTGTGACGGAGCAGAAGGAAACAAATCAGCTTTAAATTTAGTTTCCGAGGCCTGAGCTCTGTGGAACACTGACCACACTAGTCCGTATCACGACAGGGGTACGTTTGCTGTGTTACTTTGTGTTAGTAGAGACTTTGCGAAGGGGGAAATAAAGACATCTAAAATAAGAAATGATATAACAGCATAAATCTAATGAAAATCCATTACATATATGAAATTACTGAAGGATAATTATGGGATCGACTGTCTGCGTCGGATTCCTGACTGGGGAATATTGCCTCCTCGCCGCGGGCCCCGCAGCCTCCCGTAAAATGCATACCCAAAGCTAAAAGAAGTTCCAACGTGAACTTTCTCGCTGAGTTCCATGTGATGCTGAGAAACAGACTGTGTGGAGCTTTACTTCTACGACTTCATGTTGAGGTGTTTAAACACAGGAACCTTTGTCTTATGGAGTATTAGGATAAAAAGGTAAATGTTTCCGTTAAGTAGCTATGAAAGTGTATGGAGGAGTGGATGCATAGATCCTTATTTTCTTGACCTCGGCAGTAATTTGAGGTGAGTGGTCAGCTTCGCGCCCCTGCAGCTTTATCCAAGGGCAAAAAAACGGTACACATTGGATATGAGGCTGGGTGGGCCCCAGAGCCGATGTGGACGACATGGAGAAGAGAAAATTCTTGGTCCTACCGGAACTCGAACTCCGACCGCTCGGTCGTCCAGCCCTAGCCAGTCGATATACCAATTACACTACCCCGGCTCCTTCTTATGGGATATTAACATGGCTGTTTAATTCTTACCTTGAATTCCATGATCTCGGCTTTGGGGCAGTAGAGCTGTGTACCCTCACACTGACAGAGAACACTCTTTATACCTTGCCTTGCGTTCCAGCTTACGTTTGTAATCACGTATAGCTTTGCTTGCCGTATCGTGTTTACACAAGGAGCGGATTGCTTTCGGTGTTTTACACACGAATGTCTTCTTCTTTTGATAGAAAGAAGGGAAACATTTCGAGAGGTAACTGCACTCAAAGTACTGGCCTTTGTATGAAAGACGTACCCATTACTTTATCAAGCAATTTCGCGTGTGTTGGTTCAACTCATAGAACTTCTAGAAAGTTTATGCAGTTTTTTTAAGTCCTTTGATAAACTCTGATGGAACTTTACATGTAACACTTAACTTACGCTGGCACATTACCATGTACATATTTTCCATACTTGAGTGATTTTAATGGCCTCTTTGAACATTGACATATAACCTTGCATTTTACTAATCCTTTGGTAGTGTCTAATATAACTTTACATGTTTAACTTCTATTACAGTCATTACAATGTATACGTTTGGTCACCGTAAGGTTAGCTTTCTCAAAGCCCTTACTGAAATACTGCGCTTGTCTTCAGAGTCTCTTTTCAAATTTCGTTGGAAATGACATGCTACAATTCTCTTATACTGGAATTGCCATGTATAAACTTGGTCTTCCTTAAACAAATTTGACCGCCTCTGTGCTCTAGTGGTCACAGTTCCTGGCTACAGATCCTGAGGTTTCGGGTTCGATTCCCGACGCTACCAGATTTTATGGGAAGTAGTGGGTCTGGAACGAGGTCCACGTGAGGATAATTGAGGAGCTACTTGGATTGAAACGTAGCGGCTTCGGTCGAGAAACCCAAAATTAACTGCCGTGGGAATTCGTTGCGCTGACCGCGCGACACCCTCTATCCACTAAAGTTGGCACCAACTTCTCCGACAAGCGGTGGTCGCCCGATCGGTATAGTTCGCTTGCGGGCTAAAGCCAAGGAGTTTGTTTGTTAAGCATATTTAAGGGATATTTTGCCAGTATGTTTCATCAGCTGAACCTGGAAGTTAAGTTATCCCTACCATGGACATTTGAATGTCTTGGGTTTGTTTGATTAAACCTCACATAATGTACAAAAGGAAATATATGATTTCCTCTTGTTTTCCTATGAGGACGGCGGAACGAAAGGCAATATTACAGCAACAGTGGTATCCAGCACATGATGCGATTGGCTAAAAAAAAATCTTCAAAATTTGGCATTCAAAGAACAGTGGCAATTTTTTTATTTCCAAACGCTCTCACTTTCAGTACAGTTCATATTTTTATGACAAGTAGATTTAATTTGTTTCCAAATAAATCAAAATGATACCGTGCAGGGCTCTCATCCTAAGCGAACAATAAAGACTGCGCTGTCAGCGAAAGTAGACGAGCATCCAGAAAATCGCATAGTGAAGAGGTTAACAATCTATAATCCTCATTCTGTTATTAGGACGATGAAGAGTTTTTTTATTGTAGAAAAATTTATGTAAATAGAAAAAGGGCCTAGGCATTGCCCATCCCGTCTTCTGCAGCACATTCTTATAAATATCTTATTCTATAATAGCGGTTACCCAGCGATTCTTAATATATAAAAGTAAAAAAGTAAGTAAAGTTATCTCTGTAAGAGGCCGTGAAGGCCCATAGTGTTGTGAGACGTTGGGAGTCCCACATTATCTAGACAATCGGCTCAAAGATGGCGGTAAGGTTGTCAGCCTTACGCACCGGCCGAGCTTTACTCCCCAGGAAAAATTTTAATTAATTCCTGGTATTCATTTCTGTTAGAGGCTGAGTCGACCCCATGGTCATAGTGCGGCTGGAAGGATTAGGTCAATTGAAAAAAAAATCCAGTGACCTAATCGGGACTTGAACCCGCGACCTTCCGGCTTGAAACATAACTCCTAAACCAACTGCGCTTCTTCGTGCCCTAACTTAAGCTAACGACCATACACTACTTATCGTCCGATCACCTAAGTTAAGCAACATTTAATCAACATTCTTAATATAAATCTTAACTTAAATCTCAGAGTATACTGTTAATAATCAGTGCAATTACTTCTTTTACTTTTCTTACGGAGAGTATGGTACTTGACGGACATCTACCGAGCATGGACGAAAGCTTTGTGTGTCACCCTGAAGGAGAGAGGGCAGTTGGGGACCTATACATAGGTGGGAGGTTAACGAATTAATGAAGTTAATGAACCTTAAGCATTCTCTTGCGAGAATGTATGTTGGATTTAACAGGACTAGGACAGGATGAAAGCCCTCATTCTTGCAGCATGTAGCTTGTCGCTATACCGACTGAGCTTTCAATCCTGTTTAAAACGTACAACCCTTGCCTTATCTTTGATCAAAGTTCAAAATTAATTCTGTTTTTGTTCTTGTAGTTTAAGGGCACTCAGCATACGAGAGCTGTGTGATGTTGGGTATAAGTTATTTTATAAGTTGAATAATTTTGGTGTTTCTACAAAATTATTAGGAGCTGCATAAGAAATTCCCGAGAGATCGATCACATTTGATCCATCGATTATCACTCTCACCGGCGGTATCCAAAATGGCAGTTCGTTCAGTGGTAAATTGTGATGACACTCTAGTTTTCATCAATAATGATAGTGAAACAAGTGAGGTAACGAGGGCTTGTTGTCATAAATTTAAAATAGAACTCAGATCAGCACAAAAAATTATTGAACTGCTACAGGAAGAGATAAACACGCCCAATCATACCGTAAGTACAGACTCATGTTACTTCCTTAGTTCGAATTCAAAAAGAGAAGGGAACTGGGTTCTTGTGTTCATGAATCTCCCCTGGAACATCTGGCTAACCTGACTTAGGGTTTTCCCATGGTTTTTCACAGTACCACCAGGCAAATGTTGATTGGACTTAGTATCCCTAATCAGGTGACAAGCACCAAGACTTTTGAATACATTATTTACTAATCATCAGCCATTTGATACTATATAGTTTCCGCTACGAAGTGTGTTGTGAAATCATGAAAGGAAATGTGGTGCAGGAGCAGTTTTGAATGTCATTAACAATCGGACACAACTTTCAGCTCCAGAAGAGATACTGTTCAACATCAAGATTGAGCCCTATGACAGCGAACTGGAGCTACAGGTAGCCCTGAAGAAAGCACGGAGACCGAAGCTGCAGGAGGCTGTTACAGAATCAAAGAACAGTGTAGAAAAGGTACATCACATCAGCAGATTTCCTTTTTAATCCTTCTCACAAATGTTTGGCTGTAGTAGAGGTCATTTATCTTGTTCAATCAAGGCCATCTTCACCTTCCCTGCCTCTCTGCTTTTTCTCCCTGAGACAAGAGAGGAGCAGGCCTATGGATATGTGGTGGGAAGTGATGAAATTGTCCCTAGCTACAGAATCCTGTGCCATGTTTAGTTCCTACACAGTGTCTCCATATGTTCCAGTTATAAAATGTTGCACAGAACTTTGTAGTAAAGTTTATTATGATGTTTCCTCCTTGGTTACTGTACAAAACCATTGTACCCTAGATAGAGTATATTGTAATTTAACCTGAGGGCTATTAAATTGTTTCTCTCACAGTTTGTTGTGGTGGGCCTCAAACCAGTAAATCATATCTTCACACTTAAGTAATATCATCATCCTTTCTTACTGTGCTACAAACTGAAAGTTCATGGGTTTGATTCCCAGTTAAGTAATTGGATTTTTAGATTGACCAAATCCTTCCAGTCACACTATGACCCTGAGGTCAACTCAGCCTCTAACAGAAATGAGTACCAGGAATATTCTTGGGGGGTAAAGGACGGCCAGTATGTAAGGCTGACAACCTCACTGCCTTCTGTGAGCTTATTGTCGAAAAAGTATGGGAGTCTCGACATCTCACACCCCTAGGGGCCTCCACGGCCTGTTACAGGGAGAGCTCTACCTTTTTTGATACTATCATCCTTTCTTGTATTTTGGCTATTGAGCCCTGTTATGGCCACCTGTCAAATAGGCACCAGGGGCTGTTTCCCCGGGTGTGAGCAGCATAGAGCTGGAATCTAACCTCCATCTAGAGCATAACTAGTTAAGCATACGGACAGCTTTGCATTTATGGATACTACAAAACAGAATGCTATATAGCTACATAATTTAACTGTTTGTGATTTGTGATGTTTGTAGGTGGCAGAGTCAGTACTGGAGAGAAACTCAGAAGGAAACACAGAAGGTGGTTCCATTGTGCTGAATGCTACAGCAAAATTCTGCCGCACACTGGGTGACATCCCCACTTATGGTCTGGCTGGCAACAGGGATGAGGACGCTCAGGAACTGCTTGTGAGTGCAATATAACCTTCCGCAGATAAATGTATGAGTGCAATATAACCATCTGCAGATAAATGTACACTTGGCAAGGCACTTTGATTTAGCATGTGTCAAGACTGGATACAGTCCATTGCCCATCTACAGTTATTTACTGCAGCTGCAACAGAATTAGAATATATTTTAATTACAGTTGAATTCCATGATAATGGATGTATAAATTACTGAACTGGAAACATCCAACAGAAATACTAAAAATGAAAGCACTCGTTATAACATAAGAATGTGATAGTTGAGATGGTAGAATCTTTTTGTTCTTCTTCTTCTANTCTTCTTCTTGACAAGTGGGTCCTTCTGAAATAAAATGCCGTATAATGTGGTAAAGTCCATAAGCATTTTGAAGGAATGTCAGTGGACTTAGAGGATGAGACTTCCCAGAAGATAGTGCCTTTCTTAATCTTCTCTACAAGAATCTCAAATCCAGTCTTTTTCTCCCTGTGCCATGTGCATGATACAAGGGTAGAAAAGATGCTACTAGGAATTATATGTGAAATTGTTATAGGGATGAATAAATAGCTCGGAACATGACTAAATGAAAAACCAATAGTTCTTGTAATTTTATTCATTGCAAAGTGAATTGAATGTTAATCATCACAATATTTTCACTGCAAGCTCAGAATTAGTTTGGCAGGTGTACATTGCTTGGCAGAATGAGAGTATGTTTCTAATAGATCTGTAACTTTAAAGCATACTATGATATTAAAAAGGTAATTTGGCAAAGAAGTTTCAAGATGATCAGTATAGTCAGAAGAATTCTGTCTTTGGGGTATCATCTGAATTTCTGGGGGAACATGTCACCTCAGTCTTCAGGGTCAAAGAATAAATGAAACAAGAAGCCAGCATGAAGCAGGTAGGAAGCTTGGCTTTGTTACCTGCCAGTGCTGGTTTCTTGCTTGATTTATTCTTCAACCTTGAAGATGGAAGCGAGATGTTTCTGCAAAATGTCTGCTGACTTTCAACAGACTACACAGCATTATATCCCAGATGACAGAACTATTCAAAACCACTAATTTCAGAAGCTCGACTCCTACACAGTGTAGTCAATACCTTACAGTGCAGTAATTCTTTATACAGTTGTTGGTGGGTAAACAGTTCAGATTTCAGTCTGTCTCAAGGTAATTTTGAATTGGTAATGTTTGGACTGCGCATTTGCGTTCTGCTAATCTCATACAAAATTTAGATTACAGGACTTTGGGAGGGAAACGATTGAAGAGAAGAAACCTCAGGAAGAAGGCAAATGGAGCTTGGAATGAAGTTGAGACTGGTGAGTCATTAGCAGATTCTTTATGTACAGCATAGGCCTATTCAGTTTAAGAGATATTGACACTTTAGTATCGTTTTTAATCATGCTTTATATTTTAAGTATTGCATAAATGGTGTACCATATTTAATCATATACTGCAGTTTTGTTAGGGGTTTTAGTACAAACACATTAATCATTACTGTTTAATATTAGTAGTGGTAGGATAGTTGGTTTAGGCACTATGCTACAAGTTGGAAGGTCGTGGATTCAAGTCCTGATGAGGTCATTAATTTTTTTCAGTTGACCTAATCCTTCCAGCTGCACTATGGCCCTGGGGCCAACTCAGCCTCTTAACAGAAATGAGTACCAGGAATTTTTGTGGGGGGTAAAGTGAGGCTGGTGCGTAAGGCTGACAACCTCACTGCCATGGATGAGCCAATTGTCTAGAAAATGTGGGAGTCTTAATATCTCACAACCCTATGGGCCTCCACAGTCTGTTACAGGGATAGCTTGGCGTATAAGGCTGACAACCTCACTGCCATCTGTGAGCCGAGTGTCTCACAACCATATGGACCTCCATGGTCTGTTACAGGGATAGCTTTACTTTTTTTTTTTTACTGTATAGTGTCTTGGTATGTAATGAATGTCACTCATGAAGAATGCCGTATTCTGGGATGTGGCACTGCATAGATATTGAGTAAAATGATGTTTTGGAGGAACATGCCACCTCCATCTTCAGGGTATAAAAATCCACAAGCGAGGAACTAGCGTGAGCAGGTGGCTGCATACTAAGTCACCTAAGTTGTCCTGTAGTCCCTACTACTTTAATGTGCTCTAGCATTCCCATTTCTGGTTATTGGCTGTTAAGTTGTGTTGGAAAACAGAATGTTACATATTTTTATTATTTCACAAAATAACAGATTGAACTATGTATGGATCATACCCTTTTTTCTAGCTGAAACTTCAGGATTACAGGATGACTTTAATGTTGTCTCTATTTCTAATTTCAGATACCTGTCTTATGAATTTCATGGAAAGGGACCTGGCAAAAATAAAGTGGAGAAACGAATGAAGAAAACTGAACAGGAAGGAGTGAGTATCAGTCCAGATTTGGTCATGAGCTCTTATTTCTAATACAAGCTGGAAGGTCATGGGTTCAAGTCCCAATGAAGTCTTTGGATTTCTTCAGTTGACCTAATCCATCCAGCCGCACAATGGCCCTGGGGTCAACTTAGCCTCTAATAGAAATGAGTACAAGGAATATTCTTGGTGGTAAAGGGCGGCCGGCACGTAGGGCTGACAACTTTGCTGCCATCTGTGAGCCAGTTGTCTAGAAAATTTGGGAACCTCAACATCTCACAACACTATGGGCCTCCACGGCCTGTTACAAGGATAGCTTTACTTTACTTTAGTATATTGTAGCACCCTGCTGCACTTCATTTAGTACGAAATTGTTTTACAGTCTCACGTGCAGCATGTCCTTCTGTAAAACTTCCTAAAAGTTATTCACTACATGTGTCGACCTATAAGTTCATTATCAGGTGTTTTAAAATTATAAATGAGGAAACTGCTCTGCTTCCATATTGTGGTTGATGGTCATCACTACACGATCCCTTCTATGCGCATGTATATATGAAGTGGCGGGTTGTTCTGCCTGTTGTGTTATGCTGCGTGTCCCTCTTGCACTGCATAACACAGCAGGCAGATCAACCAGCCACTTTGTATATACATGCACATAGAAAAAACGGCATAGTGATGACCAACAACCACAATATGGAAGCACAGCAGTTTCCTCGTTTATAATTTATGATTTTAAAACACCTGATGATGACCTTATAGGTTGAAACATGCACTGAATAACTTCTAGAAAGTTCTATACAAGGACGTGCTGCACATGAGACTGTGAAACCATCTGATGCTATTTCTAAATGGTGCTCCATAAGGAATCAAATTTTCGTTATCGTTACATGTCCACGATTCCACATAGCAGATAGATATCGATCCACACTTTTTGTGCATTCATTTTCTGCTGACTACAAACATACACAGTAGCCTCAGTCCTGGGACAGAAGCGAATACTGCAACTTTGTGACAAGGCAGATGGAGCCTCCTCATAAAACACACAGTATATTTGTTCATTTGTCATTAGGCTAGTAAACATAGACACAGACCATGGGTTGGAAATTGGGAGAAATTGATGACTTCAAGCAGCAGAATAACTTAAAGTTTGGCCAGCTGTTAGGATAATCAGTGACAAGAGCTGCAGATATTACACAGTGTGTAAGGGCAAACAGACTGTGCCCCATCTGAAGAAGATTAATCCCCCCCCAGTTGATGAAACAGATGAGCTCAACAGACACCCACTCGGAACGCTTAGCCTCCTGCAGCAGAAGCAGAAAGAAATGCAGTCTCCATTTGTGGTCCTTAGTGGCAGTAAACAAACATGCATATGCTTTTTGTCTGCATTCATTGAAAAGAACAACCAGTTCTAATTAAAAAAAATTGTATTCATTAACTGACAGACTTAGACATGAGAACACAGATTACTAGATGAGACCAGTGAACTCAATTCAAAATTTGTCAAATCTTGATATTGCAAATAACAGTAATTCATAGCTTTAACTTAGAGGCTGAGTAGATGGGAAGCCATATAGTAATGTTGATAATGTCATATGGTGATTATACTGCTGCAAAGTAAATATTTGTTTTTCTCTGAGCATGTCACTTGTCTTGTTATAATTTGTAGAATGTACACCATAAAGTTTCATTTTAATGATGGACTGATTAATAAGACTTTCCTCCTTGATACTGTGAAGCTTTACTAAAAATTCCTGTTTTTTTATGCAGAATATGAAATTTCATTTTCAAAAAGAAAACCATCATGTGATGTTTTTGTGAGATCTTCAAGTTTAACATGAGCATTACTACATTTTCTTTATTTCTTTCTTTTTCAGGGTAACCATCTCAAAAACCAAACTGCAAATTCTTCATGAAATATGCTGGCACCAACTCTGAACTTTGGCATGGACATATGTTTTTATTGTTTCTTACTGTCTGGAATATCATCTCTGTTTTTAAATAAAACACAGCTTGCAGCTGCCGACAGTGCCTGTGTGTACTGGAAGGAAGGCTACAGAGTTCATGTCACATTCAAATGAGTACAGTGGTTCTCCTGCTTCCTTAGGTAACCTGTTGGCACCTGTAAACTGAAAAGTACAATTTCTGGTGATTAGTTGCTTGCTTATAGGACTTGAGCCAGATGAACAGCCTCTAAGCTAAATCAGACATGAAGTAATTATATTTGGCCTTTCTTGATTGCAATAGCAGTATTGTGTACCCCCCATCCATGCTGCATTCAAGCCTGCAATTTCGTCACTAAACAGTGTGACATGTATCCTTCCAAGGGAAGAAAGAAACCCTTGTTAAGTTGTAGGCCATTATGAAAAGCTGTAAAATTATACAAGCAACAGAATCAGAAGATGTACAGTCTACTGCAAATCATTGTAAATCACCACTGATACATCACTGAATCATTTGTAATGGGTTATAAAAGTAACTTGGTTCATCTTGGTCTGTCACACTAGTAATTGTATGTAAGAGTTTTAACCACTTTCCAGTGTGATTGATAAAAGTTGTCTTTAATTTTTCATCCTTTACATGTTTTGGTCAAAATGACCATCTTCAGAAGGGTATTATCAACACGTATGGAAACTACTGTTACATATCATACAAATATATGTTATATCTTTTAACTGCTATTAAGATGTACATTAATTTGTTAAAACATCAAAAAATTATTACAGTTAGTCTGTTTACAAAATAATGTTCAGTATTTGTTTTAAACTAGAACCAATTTGGTTTCATGTCCTTACACTTTGTAATAATTTTAGATATTTTAACAACTCAATGGACATCGTAATATTCGTTAAATGATATAACATATATATCTATGACATGTAACAGTAGTTTCCATAAGTGATAATAATATCCTTCTGAAGATGGTCGTTTTGACTGAAACATAAATGATGAAAAATTAAAAACAACTTTTATCAATCACACTGGACGGTGGTTACAAATCTTATATGTGGTTATAAGAGTCCTGTGTTTAATTCACATGCAGATGATCAAGAGTCTTCTGTAGGTATACAAAAACTCGAAAGACATAACAATAACATCAGGTCATGAAACTGTGTAAGACTGATCTTAAGGCATCTTCTTGGAGGTAGTGATAATGATTTGAACCCAAAATGAATATATAAGTCAATGCCGAACATTATCTGAAGTCTGAATTGTAATCCTGATGTGTTACTAATCTTCACTTAAGAAGGTACACAGACGGACTACAGGTGTTTCCAAACTTACATTTTCCTTGATATCAGGAATGTATAACTGTAAGTTGACAACCTCAGTGACATTCATTCCAGCCACCTAATTATTTAAGTTTCAGTATGTTTTGTCTTTGTTAATAGAAATTAACTTGAAATAACATTATTACAAAAGTTGTTACATTGTGTATTTCTTCATGATATAGGGATTATAATTTAAAACATGTACACCTACTCCATTAGGTGCATGCAGAATATGTTGTTCAGTTAGTGTGGTTACTTGCAAGGTTGGAATTATGTGTGGAGTTGATTTTAGTTTGTAACATTCTCACTCAGAGCAGTCTCCTTATGGTAATTGATGGTCATTACTCTCTGTCCTTACCGTAGGTAATTAATTTTTCAGTAAATTGTTTTCAAACAAAAGGTATGACATACCTATCAAAAGAAACTGAAGATTTTGTTTTTTTATTGGTCAGTATCCTGCTGAGAAAGATACAATAAAATAGTTTTACTTGGTGTAGTATTTAAATCATCTTTATCATCTTTATGAAAAATGACACAAAAATGCTTAAATTTCATGATATATTTGAATGCACTAAAAGTTTCACTGTAAACTTGAGGTGGCCATGTGCATTTGGAGCCCAGGCAGGGCCACTGAAGCGTCAGGCCAATAGCTTTAAATGGCTGCAATGGTAGACTTGCCATTTATTAATTTGTACATATTCCTAACAGACTCACTACTGTGATGAAGACTTGTTAACGCTCTGAGAATTGATTTCATTATGTAATGTAATTCATCTGCACTGATCACAGTTCAGTTTAATCAGTACAGCACAATTACTGTATGGTTGTAGTGTGTCAATATTTCTTTTTCATAAATGGAAGTACAGTCATCTACAAGCACCATTATTATGTGCGAGATTTGAGATATTCACGGCAGCGATAATGAAGAAGTTGGAAGTGACGCTGTGTAGGTGGGTAGGAGTCTGCCAACATTTTGGAGGAATGTACTGCCACATTCGTAAGGGTAGACTTCTACTACATGCATTCTATCACATCCTGACTTTTCAGCAGTATTATTGAGGATAAGTCTTCTGAAATGTAATGCTGTGTAATTTGTTTTTACCAACACTGCAGACAAATATACTTCCTCCATCTTCAGGATGGAAAATTGAAGCTGAAGGCAATGTGTTCCTCTGAAATGTCATTAAACTTCTACTAACCTACACAGTATCATATCCCATATCATCAGCCAAATGAAACTGCTGTTTGTGGATGACCCGATTTCATATTGTGACTGCAAACACAACATGATGCTTCGAAAGGAACAGGTCAAACATCTGTACATACGTAATCTGTCTGATATCTGGAGTCATCCTAAAGCTGGAGGCACACATTCCACCAAAATGTTAGTATTCACCTATCAGACTGCAGCGTGGTGTTTCTTCAGAACCCTGGTATCTGCCTGCCAGACTACAACCCCGTGTTATAGCACACAATGTCCCCACCAAGGAACGTGATGATTATACAGCTTTCCAGTTTTGCCAGGAAAGTTACGTCAAAGACTTGTAGCTCAGATGGGGGAACACAGATACTTTTAATTTTGTGCATCCTGTTGTGTTATTATATACAATTCTTTATTGGAGTCCATCATAACACAACAGCATAACAGTCAAGGTTAAAATTACCTAGCTACATGTTTTGGCTATTTAAAGCCATCATCAGGCAAAACACGTGATTACTATATTCAGACACAATTAGTAATCATGTGTTTTGCCTGATGATGGCTTTAAGTAGCCGAAACATGTAGCTAGGTAATTTTAACCTTTACCGTTATGTTGTTGTGTTACGACGGACTCCAATAAAGAATTGAACACAAATGCATACAATATTTTTGTTGGAACATGCTGGAAAGCATCCACTTGGCAAAGCAAACGTGGTGGAAAGAAGATATCAAACCAGATCTTGACAAAACTGGGTGTAAGGCTGGATCATGATGTGTCCACTGGTGGGCTTTGGTATTAGTAACATATATCCTGGAAGTGTATGCTGAAAAGTAATGCCTCCATAAGACAGTGGCGAAAATGTAGTTCTGTCCTGCCACACTTACATAAGTACAGGTACTCCTTGGTATATGCAAGTTAGAAACGTCTTGTTTCATTATAATGCAGTCAATTAATTTAGACCTATTAACACTTGCTTTAGTATGAACTGCCTGCTGGCCCATCAGAGAGGTTGGAAGAAAGGGGGATTAAGATGCTGTGCAGGTGTGGAGGAGGAATGCAAAGGGAGGAGAGAAAATTCGGCCTGCCTGATGTCATTTATGTCATTGCACCCCCTGTGACTCCTTTTGGGAACACAACTAGTGCAGAAATTGACAAATACGTGTACACGAAATATGTCAGCTGTGTCTGGACTGCAGAAGTGGTTGTTTGAGAAGTAATTGTATAAAATAGGGAACTCTCTTTTTACAAAATAGCTGCCGCTAGTGCCGAGAGCTCTGTCGGTAAGAGGGTATGCTATGTTACCACCAGCCCTGTCGGTAAGAAAGTATGCTATTATACCACCAGCATTTCTTTACTGTTCCCTCCCACAAAATCACTGGTTCACACGTATTGCTAGATTTAATAATCGATGTAAATGAAATGTTCATATTTTACAGGCACTGGTGGGAAACATTCTCCAGATAAATAATGTTGCAACCTGATATCTTGTACTGCAGAGGTTCTTACTCCGTTGTGTATTTTCTGTTTTCAAACTGAGTTTAATATCACTTCGCTCAAAACCATCTGGAGGGGAATGAGTTAAATAATATCAAACTCAGTTCGAAAACAGAAAACACACAATGGAGTAAGAACCTCTGCAGTACAAGATATCAGGTTGCAACATTATTTATCGGGAGAAAGTTTCTCACCAGTGCCTATAAAATAAGAACATTTCATTTACATCACTTCAACACCCCCTTACTGAAATGCAATGGATATTTGAACTATAATATATATAGAACATTTGTATTTAAGAAAGCTGATGGTGGGTAAACTTGAAAGAAAATTATGTTTCCAACAGAGATACTTGCATTCAACTTCATAACTTTGCCTATAACTT